CAATGGTTTTACAACACAACACAATCATGTTCCGTTTGAGTTCACACAGGGCTCTCCAACGCTCCCACAAGATATATGAAATGAAATGAATAGAATGAAAGACGAAATTAAGACTCTATCATAGGATAATCAACGCATGAAGCGTCAACTGACTGTCGCGGCCGAAGAGCGCCACGGTCTACGCTCGGTTCGTCGGGAAGGTATACAACGGTACCGCTTGACTACTTTCCTTCCTCCACCCTCTGATGCTCAGAAAAAGCTGCTTGACGAAGGTAAGATCTTGTCTTAATCTCAAATAAAGACATTAGCGCGCGACGATGCTGATGCAGAACGCACGGATGCGGGCAAGTATACAGTAGCAGGGGTAAAAGTCGAACGCACCAAAGAAAAGTTCACCTCTCATGTGGATGTCTTACATATGGTTGTGTGTACCGTTGCAATGGCTTTTGTGTTCACGCCCAATCTAGTCAACGACCCGTCGGCAGTATTTGACTTGATGCAGTGGCTTATCATGCTGTGCGAACAAGTGTTCACCGCACCTACAGTGCAACGAAACGACGACAAACATCGCCGTGCAAGCCCAACATACGATAATACATCTACTCTCGGGTTGTTTGACACACAACTGATACAACTTCTGACAAGCGGAAAGTCAGATCGTGTTTGTGATCCGCTATGCACGTGTGTGCGCAAGAAGTAAAAACAGAGTGGATTCTGTTTTGCGTTTGCGAGTAGCAGCTGTTCCGACCCATGTCCACAAGGGCGCAAACATGACATTCCCCCACCAACTGATAAAACATCAAAATGACTGACACATACAACCGAAGCACATCACACTCAGATCATCTCACATACACTTTCACATAAGAAGTCACCACCTGTTATTGCTAATGAAGCGTGCGTGCGAGATACCGTGTTAACTTCACAAAGTATAGGTACTTCGTACAGCACCGGCTACTCGGACGAGGATTGGGATGCAGACTCGAGTATACTCGGAACTAAACAAGAAGCTATCCATATTCCGATACATCGACAATATCTGACTACGTACGTCAATGATGAGACGGAATGGCTCTGTTACGCCCTGGCCAACGGCGTGGATACAGGGTATGATGGTCCAGTAACTCCCCCTGAAAATGGCGCCCACACATGCCGAACCGAAACACTCCAAATACCTGGGGTTCCCACTCTCTCACGGAGTACCAGGAATCAACCTCGCCAGACATATGGAATCCCTGGTTGCAGCATTGTCACTGGGTATTGCCTCTTTCCGCGCTTATGGCTTCCATGGCTTCAGCTGGCGACACCCCCGCAACCAACTGGTGATGTTCAAAACATTCATCCTATCCACGGCTACATATCGGCTGAACATTATTGCCTGGGCTCCGCCTATTGGAAGGATGCGTTGGACCCCCTGTTCGAGCACTTTAACTCAGCACTCATCCAAGCAGCAGCCATCATCACGGGCACTAAATACCCTCGGTTTCCCAAACATCAAACAAACTTACTTCACTTTTGCGGCCTGCTCCCCGCGCGACCATTCGCGGACTACCTCGGAGGTTGCCTGGGAATACAACTCGACTCAATGGCCAGCACCTCTGACGTAACCCGCCTGGGGCCACGATAAACCATCACTGCGCTTCCCGTACAGTATCTATGCTCAACTGAAAACTGTACACAAAACCACGGGCGGGCGTACACCCGACCATGTAGCCCTCCGCCAACGCTGTGACGACATCAGGAAGAACTCAACAAAACGTTGGTCCAACAAGGAGATCGCGGCAATGGCCCGGCGCCAATACTACTACCAACTGGTTATGGGTAAACCGCCAACCTCAAACCGAGACACAGCCAGACACAACAGCTTCAATCGCTGCTTCGAGTCTACACCAATCCGGCTCTGTGCTATGATTGCAACGAATACGTACATGTTCACATTGCTCGACTACCGCACCGACGGCTGTCTCTGACCTGTCTACCCCGGTAACCACAAGTTCACTACCAGCCACTTTATCTGCATCCAACAACTGATTCGACGCATCCTGGTAGGCCCGAAACTGCCGCCCATTGGCCCTGACCTCCTTCAGCAATTACAGGAGTGCCACGATTTCCACGGTATCTGGACCCTGCACGAACAACTTGGATCTTTTCTCCAGCATGTTGAAGAACTACCGTACCCTCACCCGACCCTGACACATCAACAGATGTTCCCCATACCCCGGCTAATCACGCTGTTGAAGTACTACTTCCAAATTTCGGTTCAAACCAAATCATCGCGCTTGTTGGTTCCGCTTATGATACTTCCGATCCAGGCCAGCCAACCCATACCGAATTCATCCGTGGTCTGGTGCGGCATTGGCTTACCCCCATTCTCGCTCCTCGACCGGATTATGACGGATAACCTGGTCCTTCTCGGTATTTCGCACACTGCACTAACCCATTCCGCGGCACTACACGGCGCAGACCCGATCCGTACCACAGAGGTGGGTACTCTACTTAGTAGGTCAGCTAGCGAATATATGGAACATTCGATAGTAACAGTGTTTTGTCAACACCGGCCCTCATTGACTCAGCGCATATTTTTTATTGTCGACTCACTTGGCCTAAGCTTCAAACGGGAATTTACTGATCACTTCTTCCCATCAATCTTTCCTGAACCAATACAGCGACTATGAGAGCCATACCATATGTTCATACATTGTAACATACATACTTGTCATTTTTGAAATAAATAATATTATCTCTTTCACATATCCCCCACATTCTTCAGTTCATGATAACCCACAGTTGGTAGCCGACGCGATCACTGAAGAATGTTGCAAAGGTCGAACACTCGGCCCATTCTCGCGTAAAAAAAATTGACCAGCTATCATTTTGCCTCTTCTGTCGAAACCGGCTGCGAACAGCACAATTAAGCATCGGGTGTTCCACGATCTGTTGTACAGAAAGGATTCCGTCAACGAGCGGCATAACCCCGCCGAAATTCAGCATCCTTACACTGTAGAGGGCTATACGATACTTGGCTCAACAGCCTGTCGGCACACGTCTCAGCGTGCTTGATATCCCCCCAGCTTTTCGTCTGTTGCCAGTGCTATCATGGCAGGTATTATTGCTGGGTTTTGCATATGCGGGTATGTTTTATTTCGAAGCGACCCTGCCGTTTGGACTCGGATCTGCGCCGTACTTGTATGATGAGCTAGGTTTGGCTTTGGATCATATTTTCATTTCGACACTCGCGTTATGGATACAGCGATATGTGGACGATTTTCTAAAAGTGCACAAGACAATACAATATTCTATAGCTTTCGCTGAGTTAGATGCTCTGTTAGCGCAGCTAGATACGATAGGCATTCCAGTTGCACGACATAAGACGCTGGCAGCGCTCACATCTGCTGAGTATTGTGGCGTTGTTTTTAACACAATTCTTCACAACGTGTCAATCTCACATAAAAAAACGCGCAAAGTACGAAGCCTTATTTTCCAGCTGGCTGAATCGTACAAAGGCCACGGTCAAAGAATGCCAAAGTCTGGCTGGCTCACTGAATTGGTTGTCAGCAATTATCCCAGAGGCTGCGCCACTGATGAATGGCATTTATAGCCTTCCGATCAGTGGACCGGCGTATCATCATGTCCGAGTATCACAAGAGGTTCGCGACACTATTGGGGAATGGTATACCCTATTCCGTTTGTGGAATGACACCCGATTACTAACATATCCAACAAAGATGGTACATTGTTTGGTAGATGCATCCACGTCACACAGAGGAGGTATTGATTGCACAGGCAGATAGTTCTTCTGATCATGGCTGCCTCACTATAGTAGATTTTGCTCGCAATCGAACACAATCAAACCTTTGTACAGCAATACTTTGGAACTTTTAACAGTCGTGTATGCAGTGGTATTCTTCAGACAATCCTGGCGGGGCCATACTGTTACGATAAACTGCGAGAACAAAGCTACGTGCCAGGCACTAACAAGGGGTCACTCGGAGGCCGCGGACATGCAACGTTCGCACCAGCTGCTGGCTCTAATCGAAGTTCACTATGATATTCATATACAAGCACAACACATCGCAGGAACCGACAACTGAGAGACTACAGGTCTCAGGCCAGAAACCATCTTTGGTCATCAGAGTCAGCTCACTCCCGAGAGCTAAGTCATCAAAGTTAGCTCATTCCGAGAGCTAATCAAGTTGCTCAAATTACTCTCAAGAGTTGAGTTATTACTTAACCGACTTCCGAGAGCAGATTAAGTGTCTCAACTGATTCCCGAGAGTGGATTAAGCCTGTCAATCGCAACATAATAATAATAGCTGCAGTTCTATTTGAGTCACAACCTATGCGGAAAGGCATCATGTAATCAGCGTGAGATTTAGTTGCAGAGAAGTTGAAATAGAAAAGCATCGAAGTATTAAAGTGTTCCGCATAAAGTTTCTCATACTGACCATATGAGTTTTTACCCTGGCCAGCCCAAGCGGCTGAACACTAGCACAAAAACCTTAGGTATAAGACCAAAGGTGAGATCAGAAATAAATACATACATTTTGCACTTTATTTAAAGTCTATTACATTGCACCCTAACAACAACACAGTAGCAGATGCCATTTCGAGAGAAGCTTGGTCCGAAGCAAGACACCTCCAGACCAACATGAAACAGCAGGTGGCGGCAACACATCACTTTGTTCGAAAAAGCGAGGCCGGCTTTCAGCGGCGCTACGCGACGTATTAAGCCAAGATGGCGCCAACAGTCACACCAGCTAGTCAGACAACAACTTTTATTTCGAACAGCAACATCATCAATCATACGCGTCTTATATATTGGCCACTGTACATGCATTTTATTATCTGTAAATATTTAAAAAGCTCGGCCTTAAATTAAAAAAATCGATATCTCCTTATATTCTGCCTCCCTTTTTCCAATATATACACAGATGATACGGCTCTCCCGTTTGGATCCATCAGAACCACGCCGTCGGCATACAATAATCAAGCAAATGCAGGCTCGCTAAAGCAATTCGTGGACCGGATGGTATCTTTCGGACGCGCGCTGCGAACGACTCCGGCCGGGCTGAGCATACAGCGTTGTTATTTGTACTTTTATACTATATGGGGTGGCTATCGCTACAGCAACTACTAGTCTATGATCTACCACTAGACCCAATAGTCATTGTATACTATGTTAGTTGGCTCGGTTTGCGAGGGCTTCAACCCAGTTCAATTCACGTCTATTTATCACATATTCGTCCTTCGTATCGCGCAGCCAATTTACATATCACTCACGCAACCGATTTTGAGGTCACATATCTACTCAAGGCCTTTACTCGATACATAGCCATCAAAGGAAACTTATCCAGCGGCGCCTGCGACTCCCAATTGGACCGCACTTCCAGGAATCGGTGTTATACACGGCACTGCGATCTTTGCTGAATCAGCGTCGCTGGATCCGGTTTTGGGCAGCCACTTGCATGGCTATTTTTGGTATACTGCGAATATCAGAGATTACGGTGAATACCGTGTACGAAGCTTATTCTGACACTATTCACATGTCGCTCCAATACATATATCATGCTCAAACCTACACAGTAGTCCGCTTGCCATTGTCCAAAACTAGCCTGATACCGTCCGATATTTGTCTACCACATTGACCTAAAAGACCTCACATATGTCCAGGACAAGCTTTGCAATCATGGCTTTCACTCACAGCTGAAGAACCCTCCGACAGTCATATATTCTCCCTGGATGGCAAAGCAGACACAAAGGAACAATTCAAGATAGACATGAAGGCCGCGTTCGCCGCCGCCAAACTTGTACGGATACCGAGACCATAGCTACCGCATTGGCGGCCTCATTGCGCTGAAGGACGCAGGCGCGGAAACGGACGAGATTGCCGCAGAAACGGAGGTACAAAACAGCAGCGCAGAAAGCATCAGTCAAAGCACGCATGGCAGCGTAACCTTCCCTTTTCAACAATGGGTGCACATAGTTCTCTCTTAACTTGTATGGGGATGAGCGAGATACACCTCAAACAGTCATTGTGGGTATTGGCGTGAGCGGTCTGGTCAGGCCGACCTTGACGGTAGGCGCTTGTTAACACTGGGCGAACACTTCTTATTAGGGGCGTTCGTACAGCTATGGAGTGGTGCGATTGACAGGCGATATTAGATGCGCATAGAAATCCATACTACTCTGTTCACAAGCCCCTACTTGATAGAAAGGTTTGGCAAGATTGCATTCAGTTTGCCACAAGATATCTGAGTTGATTTTAGTGGTAAAGAGCAACTTTAGAAAGTTAAACTAGGGGCTGGGCGAACACCTTTTATTAGGGGCGTTCGTACAGCTAAGGAGTGGTGCGATTGACAGGCGATATAAGATGCGCATATAAATCCATACCCCACTGTTCACAAGCCCCTATTTGATAGAAAGGTCTGGCAAGATTGCACACAGTTTGCCACAAGATATCGGAGTTGTTTAATGAAGATTATTTGAAAGTAGTATTAATTTTTAGCTGCGAGTAAATGCAAATAGTAATAAATTTTAATGGATAGAGACTATATGAAAATAGAAATAGCTTTTAAGTGCAGATTATAAATAGAAAGGGAAAAGTTTTCAATGGAGATGATATTAAAGTAGCAATAGGTTTTGATGGACATCATATGAAAGTAGGAACAAGTTTTAGGGCAGAGTATATAAAAATAGTATTATAGCATTCTAAGTGCATATAATATAAGGATCAGTAAGGATAGTAGAACTTTTAGTGAAGATTTTATGAAAGTAGTAATAACATGCAATGCAGATTATATAAAAGCAGTAATAATGTTCTGGGCATATTATACGAAAGTAGTAATAACTTTTTGTACCGATTATTTGGAAACAGTAATAATTTTTAGTACAGAAAATGAAAAGAGTAACAACTTAAAGTGCAGAAAATACAAGAGTATTAATAGTTTTGAGTGCAGATAATATGAAAGTAGTTCTAACGTTGAGTACAGATAATGTGGAAGTAGTAAGAACTTGTGATAAATTATATGGAAGTAGTAATAACGTTTAGTGCAAATTACATATAAATATTATTAACTTTTAATGCAGATTATATGAAAGTAGAAATACATTTTGGTACAGATTATACGAAATTGTAATAACTTTAAATACAGGCAATATATGAAAATCCTAACAACTGTTAGTGAAGATTGCATGGAAGTACACGTAACTTTTATTGCAGATTTTATATGAAGTAGTATTCACTTTTGTTGCAGATTTCATGAAAGTAGTGTTGTTTTCTTGTGCAGATTGAATATATATAGTCAATTTAATACAAATTATTTGCGAGTAATAGTATCTTCTAGTGCATTTTATATAAAAAGTAGTGATAAATTTTGGTAATAACTTTTAGTACACAATATACGAATTTTATATATATATATTTTTGCAGCTTGCATGAAAGTAGTATGAGTTCTTTGTACTGATTATATAAAAGCAGTGAGAACTTTTAATGCAGATTATTATTAACTTTCAGTGCAGATTATATGAAAGTAGTGATAACTTTTAATGCAAATTATATGAAAGTAGTAGTATTATTATTTTTAGCAGATTAGGGTTTAAGTTGTAATATATTTTAGTGCAAATTATGTGAAAGTACAGACCAGGTTAAGGACAGATTACCTACTAGTAGCGCTTATTGCAGATTATATGAAAGTAAATAAAAGGTTCAGTGCAGAATATGCGAATGTAGTAATAATTTGAAGTGCAGATTATATGGAAGGAGCCTTTTGTGCAGATTATATAGAAAATAGTATAATTTTTAGTGCCATCTTATTTGAAAGTAGTTATATTAATTTTTTAATGCAGATTGTATTATGTGTTGTATCAATAACGTATAAAAATTATATGAAAGTAGAATCGTTTTTAGTACAGATATTATATGAAAGTAGTGATAATTTTCGGTACAGATTGTATGAATGCAGTAGTAACTTTTAGTGCAGAATATATGCAAGTAGTATTTTTTTTGTACAGATTATATAATGGTAGTATTGACATTTAGTGCAGATTATATGAAAGTACTTATAGCTTTTAGTGCAGATTATATGAAGTTCTAAAAACTTGTGGTTAGCCGATGTCATACAATACTATATGCGTTTTATGGACGCTTTTTTTTAGGTCGGGATAAAAATTGCGAGAGAGAACACAATCAACTGAATTTATAGAATACAAGCTACTCGATATTCTGGATCGAGTAAATCTAGGGTAATTAGGAGTGCGAAAAAGAAATGCAGCCAATGTACATCTTCAGGCCGTAAATAGTCGATCTACTATAGCCCTTATGTTTGGAATGGGAACGAAGGCCATGGCCACTCAACGAGGAAACACGCAGGTTGAGATAAATATAGACCGATGTATGTCTATGAGATATGGGAATAACAGAGTAGGTATCAATTTACACAATCAAAAGAAAAAGCCGCTAGTGGGTTTATATTGGTAGCAATGTAAATCGGTGTGACTGAGGTTCGAATTCAGCTCAGCTAAGGACGTGGTGATAGGCTGCATCCATAGCTCATACAAACAGGCTGCCGCACACGGATGCAGCCTATAGATATACTATTGGCTCTGATACATCAAAATACATTAAACATCTTTAATGCACAACAATAGTGATCCAGATCACGACCAAGAATACCATGGAGGCCGAACACGCACGATCAACGACTAAATCGAACTAATACTTGTTTTTTAACCGAAGTCCATTTTATTTATTAGTTTCAAGCGACGGAACACTGAAAAGGATATTTTTGGGCGTGGTCACGTCCAGGCCAGTGTCTTTTCTATAGTACAATATATGGCTGTATTCCTGCACCCATGCAGGTTGTTTGGACTCGACGGCACACAACAGCCGATGCTGAACTTGCTGTTGTTTAGGTCAAGTCAATGAATCCCCCGGTAGTTTGTGCCATGGATGTCATTCGCTCTCCTATGCGTTTGATATGGCGCAGACGGCCGACAGCGTTCGAGACGTAATCCTCATTCTGCTGCTGGATGCAGGACGCCAACTGTGTATGCGTGCATTCATGTGCAGCAATCGAAGAGGCAATTGGTTTATTTGCATGTTTGCACATGTGCATATTAGCAATGTTCTTGGTGTTTATACCCCTTAGCAGTGTTTGTGGGGCCACGTTGTTTTGAACTATCGCTGTATCTTCATAGTCTACCCGGTTCATGATCAGAGAATTCGGGCATGCACATAGCTTATGCAAAGATATCACTCTTAACGAATCTATACTTTGTTGTCTACGAGCGTTTGCTGACGCAAGGATACCGGGGTTGGGGATGTGGGGAACTACATACATATATGGCTTTATACCTCAGACTCAAAAATATTGCGCATTATCCATTATACGCGTAGTCACAGCCTCTGCAGTTGTATGTGCAGATTACACGTAATCGTTAACCAACAAGTGTACAGCCTTCCAGCTACACATTCTCAAATGGAACACATAGAGGATGCAATACCTGCACGATAGCACGATAAAAAACGATGCCATACACCACACGCGTGCCTTGCAATGGCTTCCACTCGAACCAATCCATAGAACCCATCTGTCGTACTATCTATCTATACGAATCTGAAAGTGCACACTTACATTTGCATGGATGGCGATGTGCCTTACAAACGTAGCCAGGGACGCGTCAGATACAATCTCGTCGAATTTCTCTGGCACATATGTTTGCATCACTGAGAAATGTAAAGGGAGTTGCGATTTGAGCGCCTTCAGGCCATGGGCACTACGAGTCGGTTATGCAGAGATTCTGTGTGACTTGCAGTTGGTGCTACCTGTCACTGAGCTCCGCGAGAGGTAAAAAAAAGGTTCTTTGTCCAAAATGCACTAGCGTCAGTATACGGATAGACACAGATCCGTATGAAATTGGGTGTGTGCCTGTTTCCCCTTACAATCCGGTACAAATAGTGGTAAAGCGACACTAAAGGCAGACCATGCGAGTGAACACACAGTCTGTGTACGGAACTGGCACAACTAAAATGTGTCACAGATATGTGGCGCTGCATATCGAGCGATCCTCTGTATGCGGTCTGTGCACGTGATTAAGCTAGAGGGGACGAAGCAAACGCAATGGAATGTGTATGTATTTTGCCACGCAACCATGACAACACGAGTACATAAGCAATTGGAAGCACACGAACTTATACAGCAGGCAGTAGGTACGGACCTTCTATCGGACAGTCGCCCGGACCGACATGGGCTAATGCATCTTCCAATTGACACACTTAATGAATTTGAAAGTTCGGCACTATAACACGACGTCATCGTCAACCGAATGAATTGGGAATGATGCCCGCTTTAATTCCAATTAATTTTACACTGAGGCTTTAAGTAGACTCCAATCTCAACTTATAAGTTGGAAAGTACGACGATGAACATTTGACCACATCAAAAAAGGTACACCCGAACGAACAACGTGACTCCGACTTATGAGTAGCGCTTCTACAATAGATATAACAACTGAAGAACAACAAACCAGCCCCAAAACAAACAATGCGATGACGTTGGGGGTTGAGCGCAACACACCTTCTTTGGTTCGGATGAGCACTTCGTTGGTGTTGTCCTCCAGTGGCTGGATGATGAGATCGATGAAATTGAATTGGCCCTGTGTATGATTAGCGGAAGAACGGGATTAATGACTTTGTTGATTCTTCATACGTAATGTCTCACACTCACCCGTATGGTGTGCAGGTTGTAAGTCGTTGGATCACACCCGTTATACGGAGACACGCAAACAAACGAGAGAGTCCACACCCCTCCATAGCCCATAACAAACACATGTCGCACACTCACCCGTATGGCGTGCAGGTTGTAAGTCCTGGGTGCGTCGTTGTACACTATAGTAACAAAGTCGTTGCCGATGTGCCGTTTCTTATCCACACACGCTGCTTGGCCACTGGGCATGAGCGTGGCCACGTGAAAGACCACCTCGGTGATGTCGTCCTGCCAGTGGTAGGTGAACTCGCCATCCGCCCCTTCCTCGCTGATGTGGTGGGGTGGGGAAGAAGTGTTTGTGTTTGTGATTCGTGAACAGAGAGATATTGAATTTTATGTGCGGTATGTACAGCCTTGCACCAGCGTAATGCTTAGAATACCTGTTACATACCACATGATATGGTGCATGCGTATGTAGAGATGTACGGATACACATCAGGTCATCATGGTCCGTCGTAGCACAGACAGATATGCCAGGCTCTGCCTAAAACAGGAACACTATATATTAATATTAAACATATTTATCAAGCAAGGCCACCGGTGCAAAGCTCCGCCTTCTCCAAACCGCTTGAGTATGACTAATCCCTGCGGATAGTATAACACAAGCACGTATGTGCCAATCCCTACGAGAGACCTCACACACGCATATGTGGATACAAATCAATTCGAAATGGGATACACACTCCACACTTCATTCAATGGCACTCGCTGCAGTGCAACACTCCTTGGCAACACGAATCTTACCGGTCAAGGCCACCAGTGTATAGCTCCGAATTTTCCAACCGGATGAGTGTACCCAATTGCTGCAGGAACTTCATATATCGGACTGACCCGTGATCATTTCGAAGAATGTCATCACCCGATGTGTTCCCCTCGGCTACGTACACAACACCTGTATACGCAAACAAAAATAGGGTGTGACGTGAATGAGAAGAGACGCGTGGGGTATGCAGAACAACACAACATATACATGTATG